AGTGGTACTGGGGGACAGTGCCTCAAAAAGGGCTACACAGAGGCCACTGTGAAGACGTGGCTATTTTGAAGGTGCAGTACATTAGCCATACCTGGCAGATCCCCTTTTCATTGCCTTCTCAACCTGGGTGTGTATGTGGGTTTTCTGGCTTGTGCCTCTCTGGGGAGAAGTGGAAGATACTTATTTCAGTAGTGTCTTGTGTGCATCATTTATATGCTGAACACACGCCATGTGCTTTCTACAGTATTTTTCAAGCAGGCACTGTCGTTCCGGAGGCCGTCAGCAAGCAGCCTCTGGTTACAGAGCTCTGCAGGTACTGCAAAAGGTCTTACTGCCTACTTAATACAGGGCAGGGGCTTGGTCTCTTGCCACTGCAAAGGCCACACTTATAAATCAACAGTAAGTGCTAAGAGTAAAGCAGAAGAAAACATCAGTGACTTGTAAACTGTTCCTTCTTTAGTCCCCAAAGTGTATTTTTTGCCCTTTGGGGTGAGGTGGGTGGATAGGGAGCTTTACCTCATTTGCTTTCTTGAAACCTCTTAGAAGTACAAGTGAGGCGGCTGCATGATTTGTGTATGCATGCAGAAGAGGGCCATCTGAATTGTAAATAGCACCTGCTAAATTATTATTAAGTGAAAGCTGACGTGGGAGGAGTTCTCAGGAAAAAAACCCCTCAAGTCTTTTAATAAAAGTTGTTCCAGATGTTTTAACATTATCCCCTGGCTGCATGCTACATACTTCAGCTCATGTCGATGCTACGGGGAGTTAACGTGAGTCGTATCAAGGACAGGGAAGGCCCCATTAAATCCAGTTACTGTCAGTTGTGTGAGAGCTTTAAATGGCTGCACTAAAACTCATTATTAAAGAAAGGAACTATCAATTTTATTTAATGTATGGTGCCCAGCCTTGATTCTGCTCCCAGCCCAGAAACTCACCATGCTCGGGGTGATATAAAACTTAGACTTGCACTCATCAGGATGAGCATTTAACTGTTGTAGAGTCCTGGCTGCATCCTGGCTGGCTAACTGAGGCTGTGGGGGCTGCCCTGCACCCCTGCCAAGGCAGGCACCAAGCTCAGCCGGTATTGCCACTTGCCTTAGTCCAGCCAAAGCTTTTGCTGGTGTAGGTGGGGCTGCTGAGCTGGGCTTCAGGTGAGTGGGAGTGCTTGGTGAGCAAAGCTGCTCGACCTGAGTATCCTTACCCTCTCTGCTCCTGGTGGAGAGCAGAAAGAGGAGGAGCTGGGTGCCAGCCTTGGGCCTTTCCACGCAGAAAGCGGAAAGGTGACTGCTAGGATCTTCCTGCAAGCGAAGGGAGGTGACATGAAAGGCACAGTCTTGCACAGGAGGTTTCTTGTCAGACCTGGGAGTGGAGGTTTAAGAGAACTTTTCCAAAGTGAAACATTACATTTTCCATCCCTCCATGGCTTGTGGCCCCTTTTGTCTTTCCAAGACCCCAGGAGTGAGGACGCTCTCTGAGGGCATCCCCACTGTCTCTGAAGCATCAGTGTCATTGGGCTTGGCTGGCATGGGTCACCCCATTACTACTGGCATGCTGCCTCATGGACACGGTGGCAAGCTGTTGTCAGCCTTTGTAATCAAAAGGCTGAAGTTGTAAATCATATTACAGGCTGTAATGAGGAATTTGATCCCTGTAACAAACCATCCAACTTTTATTCACATTTATTACTATTTCTGCTATTGCCATGGAGCAAAGATCCTTTTTGAAAAAAAGAACATGCCACCAGCACAGTTTGATTGTGTCCTTAGGAAATTTAGGGTTGTGTTTTTCTCGCATTAACTGCACAGGCAAATTTGCAATAAAAATTACTTGGCTGCAGAAGCCTTTTTTCCCATCACTGAGCTGTCAATCAGCCTGTAATTTCTTAGTATCGGACTATGCTGAAGGACTCACTGAATTGTTCTCCCCTAAAACCTCAAACATGGGAAAATCATTTTGAATGGAAGGAAGAAGATTTCATAATTCTTTTTTTAGGGGAAAAAAATACCTCTCCTGTGATGGGAAATAACCTCTGAGGAGAGTGGAAGTGGCAGCAAGAGTCTGAAGTCCTCCCTTTATCCGCAAGAAAGCACCGCTTCCTCCACACCCTCCGTTTTTGGGGTACCAGTGTGGGTCAGTGATTTTATCCCCTATTCCTGTTCCCCTGCTGAGGCTGCCAGCAGTGTTTCAGAGACAGCAAGGGGCTGGTTGTTGATGTGGAATCCAGTCCCTAACAACAAGTCGTTTCACCAATGGGCACAGGCAGCCATCTGACATTGACAGTGTTGAGTGACTGCTGACCTTGTTTTTAGCGTCAGCTGATGTCAACTGGAGTACTGCCAGTTTGCACCAGTTGAAAGTCTGTCCCTTAATGGTGGCGATTATCCTGATTTTTACAGTGGCACTGGGAAAGTTGCAGCTGCTGCACTTCACATCCTTGACTTTAATTTGGGGTGCCTCGGTCGTTTCGTGTTGTCTTTAGAGGAGTGTGTGAGAAGAACGTCTCGTCTTGTTCTGCGTCAGTCATTTTTTCCCTTTTTATTTTGTACGAAGAGAGATTGCTCAAGCACACCATGGAATGAAAGCCATAAAGCTATAAATTACACCTCTGCTAGGTCCACAATATGTTACCAATTACGTCTGTTACATTATTCGCGTCCAGGGGGAAAACATACATCAAACCAACCCCACTCTCTCCAGGCAGGTTGGTACTGTACTAGAAGGAACACTGTGACTCCTCTTAATCAGTGGAAGAACAAACACAGTTTTGGCTCACTCACATACGATCCTTGTGTCCAGGATGACAAGTTGAGTAATACTGCTGCGGTTCTCCGAGCTCACCACATGCCACACGCTACAGCATTCGTGGCAGCACTGCCCTGTGGAAAGGAGAGAGGAGAACAAGTACTTAGAGGGGCAGGGAGCTGGAGTGGGTCTGAGTACCCGGTTGCAGGGACCTTGGAAATTGCTGCCAAGGAGGTTGAGAGGCAGGGGGGAGTGGAGTTAAAGGGAATGACAGCAAACAGCGTCAGAAATCCCCTCAGAGCTAGGGAGCACATCTGCAGAGGGGAGCACACTGTGGTTTGCAGGGCTTCCTTGTCAGAGCAGGGTCAGCGGGGTTTTGTGCGGCGTGTTCAAGCAGGGGTGAGGGTTGGTTTCCCCATGTGTTCCAGTGGGGGTTTTCTTCTGCGTCTACCTTGTCCTCATAAATGTGTCACTGTGGCAGGGCTGAAGGTGGGAGTGTTGAAGCAAACTGGAGTGATTGCTTTGCTGGTTACTTCTTAGTAGCTATGTATGGTGGGTTTTGGCTTGCCACAGCACCCCTCTCCTGAGTAGTTCCTGGGCTTTGGGCAGCTGGGAATTAACTAGAAAATGGGCACTGGATGTGTTTAGGTCTGTTTGCTTCACCATGCTACTGAATTTTGTGAATGTAGAGTAACCTTCGTATTTTTCTATGTGAGTGTATAAGTTCATGCATGTATGTGAGCTTGTATGAGCTCCAGAAAATGGTCTGGAGGAGAGCTGAGTGTCAGATACTGTCAGTCCTCCAAATGAAGAAGTCATCCATGTGCATTGCGGATTTTGTTGTGGTTTTGTTATTGAAGCATTTATTCAGCTTTTAACTTTTTAAAGTTGAAAACAAGTCAAGGTTATGTTTGTGCTTAATAATTCAGCAATGGTGCCAGCTCAGCACATTGTCTTTTCCTTCCCTAGTCATTCTGGTTTATTAAAAAGAAACACTGACGACAGATAGAAAGGTGAAGGAGGCTGTGCCTTTCTGCTCTAACTCCTGTTGGGTGCTCACTCCTTCCCTAGGAATCCCCATGGATTTGTGTTCTTCACAGTACCTTTGCCCCAGTGGTACTATCCCTACCCTGGGCAGGGAAAGCTGGCAGCAAGTAAGGACTTAGAAGTCCCCTCTTCTGTGGACCACATCTTTTTTTCTGAATAGACACATTTTCTGTGACAGTGGAATATTACTCAGAGTCCTTCAGTAAGTCTGTCTCAGTGATGCTGTATTTTCACCTCGATTATGAGGTTTGTGGGGTTGTTCTTTGGTGTTTGGTTTTTTTAAATAAGGATTTAGAAGATCATTAACTCTTCTGGAGCCAAAGAAGCTTACATTAAAATAGGGTTTTGTCTTTTCTTTAAAAGTAAAGTAATATTAGGAGCTAATTCTGCCACATGCTAATATGTACGTTACTTCATTAACAATGCTGTTAATTTGCAGGGGATCAGTTTTCCAGTGATGGTGTTGTCACTGTGAATAAGAATAGATGAACACAATTTTATAAATCTGGGAGAACTGAGAGCACACGGTAAAGCTCATGTTGTGTAACTCCTATCTCCACTGTCCCTGAGCACAGACCAGCGTTGTGCACGATTCCCACACGCAGACTTGGCAAGCAATCTGAAACATCCTCTTCTTCTGCCCTCGCTCCTCAACTTTATCTGTGCACCTCCATTTTGTCACAGTGTATCATCTCCTGGTCCCATCTTGACTCTCTGCAGGCCAGAAGCTACACAGTGGTTTTATGGAAATAAATGGAGGGCTTAAGTCAGATCCACCGAAGTGCTTAATACAGGATGAGCCTGAGGATTTGAAATTTGGCTTCTGTAGTCAGAATACTTTGCAGTATTTGGCATGAGTTCTTCCAGAGAGCTAGATATATTCCTGGAGACAATGGGAATAGGAGTCTCTTTAGACAGAGGAGGTAAAAATAACATGTACGTTCCTGTTATTAAAAATGAGAAGGGGGAGAGCAAGAGAGCAGAAATCTTGAATGTTGTTAGTATAGTTCAATCAGAGGTAGTGATTTATTTAGAGCACAGTATTTTATTTCTGTTGAATACATATTTCTGGAAGAATGTGATTTTTGCATGTGTGTGTCTGTGCTGTGTCTGAAGCCTGTGTCCCATTTCCCTTTCCTGCCACTGAGCAAATGAAAAAAGCTGGGGATGGCATCCTGACACTGTGGTTTCACTCTGATGTTGTATTGCAGGTATGGCCTCGCATGTGCAAGTTTTCTCTCCTCATACCCTTCAGTCAAGTGCCTTCTGTAGCGTGAAGAAACTGAAAGTGGAGCCGAGTTCAAACTGGGATATGACTGGGTACGGCACACACAGCAAAGTCTACAGCCAGAGCAAGAACGTGCAGTCCTCCCAAGCAGCCGCCGCAGCAGCCGTCAACGCCTCCCTCCAGATCCCCAATCCGAGCATCCCCTACGAACAGACCATCATCTTCCCAGCAAGCACGGGGCACATCGTGGTGACATCTGCCAACAGCACTTCTGGTGTGGTTGCAGTGTCTGGGCAAACACTGGGCGGGCCACACAACCTGATGCGTCGCAGCACTGTGAGCCTTCTGGACACCTACCAAAAATGTGGACTTAAGCGCAAGAGTGAGGAGATTGAGAACACAAGCAGCGTGCAGATTATCGAGGAGCATCCACCAATGATTCAGAACAATGCCAGTGGGGCCACTGTAGCCACCGCCACCACTTCCACAGCCACCTCCAAAAACAGTGGCTCCAACAGTGAAGGGGATTACCAGCTGGTGCAACATGAGGTGCTCTGTTCCATGACCAACACGTACGAAGTGTTAGAGTTTCTGGGCCGTGGAACCTTCGGACAAGTAGTCAAATGCTGGAAACGTGGCACTAATGAGATTGTGGCTATCAAGATCCTAAAAAACCACCCTTCCTATGCCCGGCAAGGCCAGATTGAAGTGAGCATCCTGGCTCGGCTGAGCACGGAAAGTGCGGATGACTACAACTTTGTCCGTGCTTACGAGTGCTTCCAGCACAAGAATCACACATGCTTGGTCTTTGAAATGTTGGAGCAGAACCTCTATGATTTCCTAAAACAAAATAAATTCAGTCCCTTGCCCCTTAAGTACATTCGACCAATTCTCCAGCAGGTAGCAACTGCCCTAATGAAGCTGAAAAGCCTGGGACTGATTCATGCTGATCTCAAACCAGAGAACATCATGTTGGTAGACCCATCCCGACAGCCATATAGGGTCAAGGTCATAGACTTTGGTTCAGCTAGCCATGTATCTAAAGCTGTGTGTTCTACCTACCTTCAATCCAGATATTACAGGTAAGAGACTGGGCTCATGTAACATAACTAGAAGCATTTTACCTATGGGAATTTTGCTACATTCAGGTAAATGAATGAAAGTCATCCCTTAATCCTAAACAAAGATGGGTCTTAGAATGGCTTGCTGGTGATAGGAAAAAATGGTGTCCTAACCCCTTGGAGTTTACTTGCATTGAAAACCATTGTAAATTTGTAAATAGTTAAAAAGTGTTGTAAAAATAGAGTTTTCCAGTTCCAGTTTAGAAAGCCTTTCACCTCTCTTCTCTTTGGGAATGTTTCCAGATGAGAGGACGTCTCTGGAGAGTCCACATTTCTATTCCAAGTAAATGCGTGTAGGTTCTTGGTGTCAGTATTACTTTAACCTAAACAATCAATCTATATTTCAAATATGTCTTCCAGTCTTTACTCATACGTGAAAACAGGGATTTTACAAGAATGAGACTGACCCACAGGAAAACTGTGTGGATGCAGATGATGCTTTGTCAGGGAGTAGTTTTCACACAGGCTGTGCAGCTTGCTAGAGTCAATGGGAGTATTCTGGCTGTGAACTCTCCTCCCAGCAAGCAGACAGCCTGGCCAGGCTGGAAACACCTATTGCCATGTGGGAAAGCTGTTGGTAGAGCTGAATGAGTATTGTCAGTGATTTGGTGTTGGACTGAGGACTGGGTGTGGTCTGTTGATTCCCACTCACAGTGCTTTGTTATGTGCTAGGATGGAGTTCTGACCTCTGTGAAGGCGTGCCTGAGGTGAAACCTGTGAACCAGCTATATCCCTCTTCATTCTGGTGAACAGTTTTAGCAAAGCAGCCTCTTTTCATAACCCCTGGAAGGCCGTCCTCACCCTCCGTCTTGACTCCAAGACACAAAGTCTCTCCGTAGATGTTTTCCTCAGCCCCTCACTTTGGTACCAGTCGGCTTGAGTCAACATCTCAAGGACTGAGAAAAGCAATTCTGCTACATCAGGGGTGGGGGAAAATAGTGGGAGGGGGGAAACAGAATTTATCTTTAGATAACAGCTGAATTTGGAAATGTTCAGACCATGTTTTTGTTGTTGCACTTCTGTGAAACAGGCAAAGAGGGAAAACGCGATCCTTCTTGATGACTGATTTAATGACAATCAGTCCTGGCAGCATCCACAGCTCATCAGATGGGTTACAGAAAACCGGGGTAGTCGCTCTGTTTGTAAATAGGAAAGAAATCTGTCATACATGGATAGGACTAGGGACAAAAAGCCAACATGAGTTAATAACAGACCCTTTTCCTACTTTAAACTTCAGGGTGGCAAAGCCTACCTGAACTCTGAGCTCAGAAAGAGTTAATTTTCACAGGAACAGGAACTTTGACAGTGTAGCACTGCAGCAGCTGATTTTTATCTTCTTGTCCTTTGCTCTGAAGGAGCAAAAAAATCCTCAACCCTAGTTTATACCTCAGAAGAGGCTTATTAAATGAAATATTCTACCTGATGACAGTCCCATCCTCCAGGAGAGACATGTTTCTGTGGTAAATATGCAAAAGCTTTTAGGATTGCAATTACCTGGCAGACTAGGAATAAAATAAAAAAAAAAAAAAAAGATAATACAGGCATTTTGTTGTTGAGTTATCTGTGATTCTGCGTTAGCAGCCTAGGTCCCTAGCTGAAAGACAGAAGGGGCAGCCAAAATGAAATATGTGACAGAAAGCAGAAGTGAAAGAGAAAAATGGTTCATTCTCAGCGACAAACAAGGAATATTTTTGTGTCAGTCTCTGGGGAGGAAAAGGCTTGATAAAATTTGCTTTTTGTATTTTAAATGTTATTCCTGCCCAGTCTGAAGTTACAACTTGATAGATAATAAGTTCTGTCTGTCTAATTCCTCCCTTGTTTTCCGTGCCTGAATTGGTGGGAGGAGGGGAAAAAGGGCAGCAGCTCACCAGGAAAAAAAAAAAGAAAAATCTTGTTGGGTTGAATTACATCAGCAGGGGGCTGCTGATTAAGCTAAATTCAAGTCATGAGGAAAATTTATATTCTTCATTTTCTGATAGGGAAAAATACAGCACAGAGTGAAGACCCCTTCCACTCCAAAGAGAAGAAACTTTAATGCTAGGGGAAACACTGGGCTTTATAAAGATTTCATGTGTCTTCCACTTAATTTACACTTGTTCTGCTTGCTAGAGTATGAAAGACAAGGGGATGACTTCAAGAAATGGCACATTTAAGCTGAATGTGAAGGAAAAGCTTCCTCAGAGTAGTAAAACCTCTCAGACTCTAAGCAGTCGTGCCAAAGAAGTGACAGAAGCCCTGTGCCTCATGCATTTAAGGAAAGATGAGGCAGAGCACTGGGGAATATAATGTAGAGTTTGAATCTCAGCTGGAGTTTTTTTATCATAGGCTTTTGGGAGCAAATTCCTAAGTTGTCCCCATATTTTATTAACAACTTGCTTTTTCTTTTCTGTATCACTACTTTTGAGACTGTGATGGATAAATCCTTTCAAGGATTGAAAGGTGTTTGGGATCCTGCTCATTTTCAGGGCAATATAAGGCCTTTCCTCTTCTCCCAGAGGTGGGAGACAAAAGTATATTTAAACAAACTGTGTTCTTTCTTGACCTGAATCTGCATAAACTAAGAGAAGCCCCATGGCTGCTTGCAGACTTTACATGAGGGATTTGCCATTGCTGCCACGTAACATGCTCTGAAGATGAACCAGATCCTTCAGCCCATTTCTTGTGGGAGGGATGGATTGGAACTTGGTATTGCACTGCTGGTGCTGCTCGGGGGCCCTCGCTGGGTGCACCAAACTCAGCAATGTTTCTGTCCCACTAGGGATATTTCTAAGCAAGTGCTCTCTGGAAGAATGGTTATGGAATTAAGGTGGCAGAGTGGTGTGGAAAGTACCAAAAATGACATCAAAATGTCTTCAGTCTAACAGAATTTAGCTCCCAACCCTCTCAGAGGATATAGCCAGCTCCAGGCTAGATCTGGTGCCATAATTGATACTCTGGAGGTCTTTCACTCTTGCTTCTGGGCCCATAGAGGGGCCCAAGGCAAAGCATAACATGATGGCCTAAGGTGGGCCTTGCAGGAGCTCCCTTACTGCCAAGAATCCCTCTCTGGGAGGGCAGTGCCATCATGTCACCAGTGCAGCCTCAGGCCTCTGATGAAGGGAATGAGCCCCAGCAGGGTCACACCATGGGTCCTGCCCTGACATGACAAAGAACATTACAGCTGCAGTCTGTGGTCATCTGAATGGGTGGTGCTGTGAAGAGGATCGTCCTCCTTCTGCCCACCCATCTTCAGCCTGTGGTGCAAAACTCGCTGTGGTGCAGTTCCTCATGTGGCATCCTTAGCCAGTGCCTGTAGGACCTGACTGGTGGCTGTCCAAATGTCCCTTGCTTGGGACAGGGGTCCCAGCCTTCCCCTCAGTCACCGTAGTCCTTTGTCTTGTCCCTTATCACCAGCTACATCAGCCTGGGCCTGATCATTGACCCTTCATGGGGGTACATGGTGATGCAGCCGTTGTCTGGAGGTGCCTGTGTGAGGAACTGAAGCTGCCCATGGGAGGCTGCTCTGCCCAGCTCGCAGTGCAGGAGCAGGGCTCTGCAACTGGCAGTTTAACCAGACAATTTCTTAAGCTATAAATGAAGCCCTGTTCACAGAGCAACCGATCAAACGTCTACGACAGCTGCTGTGTCACAGGGTATCTTCCTGGGATTTTATTTTTTTCTTTTCTTTTTCGTGCTGCAGTTTGAAGGGGAGATCACTGAGGTAGTCTCTATGATCTCCATTTTGCAGAGAGTCAGAGAGATGAATGACCAGAGAGATCCCTTCTGGGTTGATAAGCTATGTATGGACAGCTTCCTGGGAAAACCCATATCCTGAGAAATACAGGGCTCAGGCTGCAACAGATGTCCCCTTTGATAGAGCCCCTATTCATGTATCCAGGTGGAAGAGGGGATACTACCCTCTGGGAGGTGGGGGTGGTTGGGGTGGCGGGGAGAGCTGTGGTCCTCCCTTGCTGGAACCAGAGTGGTTCCCTATCATGGGGTGGCAGCGCCGGGATGCTCGGAACTGTTGGGCTGCTCATGGGGGCACTATCACTATGTTACTTTGCCCTCTTGGCTTTTCTTTGCTGTTCAGCTGAAACAGCTGCTGTGTTGGCACCGCAGGGATGATAACGTTCCGCTAATTAATGGCGTAATCACCTTACGAGATTTAAGTCTTTTAGAATTTGCAAAATATTGCAGATATAAAATAGTGGCTGTCACCTCTGCACTATTAGTGGATAAATGTAGGTTAGGTTCCTTGTTTTCAAAAGGCTTTGGTATGTGGCGTGTCTGGCTCGAGTTGGGATGTCTGCTTTGTAGGTAAGTGGCCTTTGATGAAATGTTTGGATAACAGAGAATGAAGCCGAGTATCAGTTTGAAGAGGTGTTTATCAGTCTAGTTTCAGACTCTGCAAGAAAATATGCAGGCATAAAGGCTACGTGCATGTTGTCAAACGCCCATACAGAGTAGTGAGGCTGTGTGCAGGTGTGGTTTTTAACTGGCTGTACATGCTTAGCTGGGTGAATGCAGGTCCTGAGGGTGCAGGGGGCTAAACTGGGTCCATCTTGTCACACATGGACATTGTGCCATGACAGGTATCAGTCCTCTAACTGTGCTGACAGGGAGCCAAAGCAGGGTAGATTCCTGAGCAGAGTCACAACCTCTTCCCCATCATGTGACTCACGGTATGTGTCATTCTGGCCAAAACTGCCCTTTAAATGAGGCAGTTATAATGGCACAGGGATAGGCTGTGCTTATTTGTTTACTCAGTGAATTGGCATCTGTTAAGTCCTTGTATAACAGTGTTAGTGCACTTATATTTCAAAATCTTCTGCCATTCTGGACTTGCAAAAACATCTCTATCTCAGACTTGACTGCATTTGCAGCCGTGGGAGTTTCATTGCTCTACCAGTCTGTTTCAGTCCTACCTGCAACATTCACTGCTTTACTGACTCTGCCTCTCCAAGGTAAAGGGCAGGATA